CTGCAAAAAAGGCGGGAAGTGCAGAAGGCTGGAGACTTTGCAAAGGCTTGCTTGCTTCTGGCTGGATGTTGCGATTACTGTAGAAGCCTTGCTTCTGGAAAAGTTCTCCCCTCTTGCAGGAAGAGGTGGAGCCAAACAGTGCTGATTGACAGCTACAAGTAACCAATCCATACAAATATACAGAAACATGGCAAAAGGGGCAGGATTAAGCATGATACAACAGTTTAAATCTTACAACTAACAGTTCTATACATAGGTGGCGCCACTCGCGCCGTCACAGACTGCTTAATCAAAAACACACTGGAACATCCAGGTTTTTAGTTGTCTCCGGAAAGAGGACAAAGTGAGAGTCTGTCTGATCTCCCTAGGGAGGGAGTTCCAGAGCCAGGGTACCACTATCGAGAAGGCCCTCTCCCTCGTCCCCATCAACCGTGTTTGAGATGGCGCGTTGAGGGGGAGAGGTATGCACAGATTCATCGGGTAAGATGTGGTCACGGAGATAAGCAGGTCCCAATGGTTACTGTGGTTATGTGGTTGCTGTTAATGGCGATCACAGGGCCCCCAGAGATGCATTTCCCGTGACATTCTGCTGCTCCATGCTCCACTGGCCAGGAGTGAGGTCAAAGATCCCCGAACACAGGGGTCGGGAACCTATGGCTCGCGAGCCAGGTGTGGCTCTTTTGATGAGTGCATCTGGCTCGCCCGTGTATTCCCTTGGAAAGGAACTGAGCCCGCCTTTGGCTGATTAGGCCCCGAAGGAATGGAGGAGGGAAGGAAGGGAGAAGGGAAGCAACGGGGAATCTTTTCCCCACCGAAAGCCCACCTTGACCCGTTGCGGCCTAGTCGCCTCCACCGATCCCCGGCCTCGCGTAGCGGCCTCGCCGGGCCCGGAGCAGGGAAAGCGGGGAAGAGGGGAGAGCGAGAGGGGCCTTTCTTCAGCTACGGCGCCCGAGAAGCGAAGCTCTGGCCGAGGGAGGGAAAGGGGCGGAGCGCGCCACGCCCCTCTCGGGCCGCCGGGGGAACTGCACCGCACCGAGGCCGTTTCCGCCTCCCTTCTCGCCCTGACTACAGCTCCCGGCATGCCCCGCGATAGCCCTCCAGGCTAAGGGATGCCGGGAAATGTATAAAATATATATTATGTATAATAAATGTATAAAAATATATTATATGGCTCTCACTGAAATAAATTTCCAAATATTTTGCTTTCATGGCTCTCTGAGTCAAAAAGGTTCCCGACCCCTGCCCTAACAGCCTAACTGGAAGTCCCGGAACTAGATGCTCTGTGCCGGAGTTCTGTTGTTTGACCTATAGCAAATGTTTCATCCTTGGTTCCTGCACCTGGCCGTGTAGGAGTCAAGGATGAAATGTCTTTGGCATGTGACTCTGTATGCGGCCACATGTGGCCGCGTGTCATCAAAAATGGCGAAGTGTGTCAGTGCTGACACACGTGTCATAGGTTCACCATCACGGGTCTAGAGGCATTCTCTCCTGAGGTTTCGCTTGCATCTATGGCAAGCATCCTCAGATGTAGTGAGGTCTGTTGGAACTAGGGAAAAGGGTTTATATATCTGTGGAATGACCAGGATCGGACAAAGGACTCTTGTCTGCTGGAGCTAGGTGTGAATGTTTCAACTGACCACCTTGATTAGCATTGGATGGCCTGGCAGTGCCTGGAGCAATCTTTTGCTGAGAGGTGTTAAGATGTGCATGGTTGTTTCCTCTCTGCTGTTTTGCTGTTGTAATTTTAGAGTTTTTTTAATACTGGTAGCCAGATTTTGTTCATTTTCATGGTTTCCTCCTTTCTGTTGAAATTGTCCACCTGCTGCTTGTGGATTTCAATGGCTTCTCTGTGTAGCCTGACATGGTGGTTGTGAGAATGGTCCAGCATTTCTGTGTTCTCAGATAATATGCTGTGTCCAGGCTGGTTCATCAGGTGCTCTGCTATGGCTGACTTCTCTGGTTGAAGGAGTCTGCAGGGCCTTTCATGTTCCTTGATTCCCACCTAGCTCCAGCAGACAAGAGCCCTTTGTCCCACCCTGGCCATTCCACAGATATATAAACCCATTTTCCTAGTTCCAACAGACCTCACTACCTC